TCACTGGGTCACAGTGGCTGTTTCCTTTTCTCTTTTATCTTTTTTTTCTTTCAGCCAGTCGGCTACTACATGTACATGACTGTATATACATGTACGTATACTTCTCTTTCGTCTTGGGGATTAGACAATCTACAGTCAACTTCGCTGATAACGACACTCGGCGTGGCATCAAGAAAAGTGTCCTTATTCGCGAAGTGTCGTTATGCCCGAAGTCTCATTACATGACATGTACATGTACATGTACATGTCATGATGTATACATGTAGCTTCTCCGTCTTGACCGTTACTTTTCTTCTTTAAACCTACCCCCTTTAGCACGACGCTACCTGAACGCGCCCCACGTCAACACCTGTAAAAGTCGCATTTTCCCATGAAAGTACTAGCTGCTCAAGGATCGATAACTTTACCTTCCCTTGGACGAATTCCACGATCTTGAGCTTCCTGGAAAGGTCTTGAGACGAGGGACAAACTGATGTCAAACCCAGCTCGGAGCGAAACCAAAACCCCGTGCTACAGTCTGGCAAACTCCATCCACGCGCTCGACAGACTTGAGCACGGCCAAGACTAACCGAGCTCAAATATTCAGCTGCCATTTCGGTCTCCTTGCTCGTATCGAGCTCAAATTTTTTGTGAGGACTCATGGGATCCACTACCATCATTTGAATCTTGTTTCAATGGCAGCAGGTAGCGCAAAAATGATCCATGATGGAAAATACGCGTTCTGCAGACTGCGCAAAAAGATCGAGTTGAAATTTGCCGTGTCGAGTCGCATATCTCAACAACCGGTGTAGTATCCCTGCCTTGCTAGTACTATGTAATATCTACTGACCTCTAATCATGTCACATGTACACGTACACGCACTGCATGACTCTTGTCACTCCTTTGCTGACAAGCCTGCAAAGCTAATTATTATAATCACTTCTCACCACTTGTGTTTCCCTTGCGCTTGCTGGATTGCATACTACATATCTTTGCTAGTTTAGATCATCACACCTATTATTATGTACATGTAGAACTAACACCCACATGGTGTACTGTACCTCCCTGACCCTGACTGAGGTCATGAGCACAGACATGCCCCTTTCTAAATCCGGTTTGCATCCATTTGCTAATGCCCTCCCTGGCCTCTGTTCCCCTCCAAAGTTCCGTTTGCTTCTTTCATCCTTATACATTTAGATACTGTTGCTATGCCTTCCCAAGTTCTGTTTGGACTGACACAACAGACTTTTGCCCTTTTTCATGACTCATGGCTCATGCAGACGCTATGATGATCTCCTTCCTTTTCGCCCTATAAAAGCTGCCATGCTTTACTCATTTCTTCAGAGCAGAGCAGAACATAAGAGAACAGAACAGAGTCCCTCCTGGCAGATTGAGCCGGAGCAGTTGTATTCCTTTCCGAGTCCCTCCAGGCAGATTGAGCCGGAGCAGTTGTATACATAACTTCAGGCAGATTGAGCCGAAGAACATAATATTAACCAGTCTTCTTGTGTGTGCCTCCTGATACCACTCGGCGACCTATTACACTGGTGGCAGCGGTGGTTCAATTTTATAATTGCTAGATTCGAACCAACCTAGTATCTGTATTACACTGGTGGCAGCGGTGGTTAAAGTTAACGACGTTCCTTTGTAAGATTCGAACCTACCTATTACACTGGTGGCAGGCGTGGTTAAAGTTGTCCTTAGTCAATCGTTGTCGTCAGTTTCGTTATAAGTACCTATTACATTGATGGCAGCCTCGAACGATGAGCGGAAAGCACCGTTAATTGGCCCCCACCGCGGTTCTGAACCCATGACGATCTGACAACGATGCAGAATCTCGGTTCGCCAGTCCATCCGAACAGCAGATCGACGCTGCGACGCCCGCGTTCCGGCAAAGTGGATCACCATACTTCTCCAGCGAGCTCTCATGCCCTCCGGCATGTCCCTGTAGTACTACCGGTATATATACGACCCAAGCGACGTCGGCCCTTTCGTCTCCGTCCCTATTGCCGATCCTGCAAGAAAATTGGCCATGACATAGCGTATTGCTATCGTCCTCGCGCGACACGACCCATCTTCACTTCAACCCAGGTATGTCACCCTACTTGCTGTATCGCAACTCTATCGCCAACCCTTTCAAATGCACCTGTTACTAACGTGAGTACATATGCCACCCCTACCATGCAAGCTCCGCCATCCCGTGATTGTTTCCATTCTGTGATCATGATCATTGCTGCCATATTCCTCTCACTAACTCGTTCTGCTGCCAAAGTTGTTCCCCTGCTAACATCTCTCACCTTTAGTTTGATTGCTACACTACACGCGATACACAAGGCCCTCCACGTCCCTTCAGCAAATCCATCCCATAGACAATCCCACTCCCAGTCCCCGCCCCACCATTCGATCAACAACCTAGGACTCACAACCCTCCATGTACCTTCATGTACGTCCAGATACATGCAGTACACAGTTCTAGATCACCCAACATTTCGCCACACTGCAGCTTCCGTACAACCGCTTTCTCAAGGTTTTGATCACAAAGTTTCCTAGCCTTTTCATCACCCATCCCGATCATGTCCACCCCGTAACGACCAAGCAATCAGTTCAGACCCAAAATACTGTATACCCTGCAAGCACGCACTCAAATAACCAGTCCATGTAACATGATATACCGCCACATGATGCGCGAGTCTACTTTTCCCGTTGTACCGTCCCAGAGAGACGCGAATGAAGAACTGTTACCGTCCACAGTGACGCGATTTTACACATCCTTTTTTTACCGTCCGAAATTTTTCCCGCTCCACAGAGAGACAGGTCCTTCACACATTATACACACAGGGTCCCTACTTTATTATCAGTCTACCAAGCCTTGTTTAATACTTTGGAAAAATCACGAGGGCGTGATTATCTGTAGGAAGGGAGGGTGTAGTATCCCTGCCTTGCTAGTACTATGTAATATCTACTGACCTCTAATCATGTCACATGTACACGTACACGCACTGCATGACTCTTGTCACTCCTTTGCTGACAAGCCTGCAAAGCTAATTATTATAATCACTTCTCACCACTTGTGTTTCCCTTGCGCTTGCTGGATTGCATACTACATATCTTTGCTAGTTTAGATCATCACACCTATTATTATGTACATGTAGAACTAACACCCACATGGTGTACTGTACCTCCCTGACCCTGACTGAGGTCATGAGCACAGACATGCCCCTTTCTAAATCCGGTTTGCATCCATTTGCTAATGCCCTCCCTGGCCTCTGTTCCCCTCCAAAGTTCCGTTTGCTTCTTTCATCCTTATACATTTAGATACTGTTGCTATGCCTTCCCAAGTTCTGTTTGGACTGACACAACAGACTTTTGCCCTTTTTCATGACTCATGGCTCATGCAGACGCTATGATGATCTCCTTCCTTTTCGCCCTATAAAAGCTGCCATGCTTTACTCATTTCTTCAGAGCAGAGCAGAACATAAGAGAACAGAACAGAGTCCCTCCTGGCAGATTGAGCCGGAGCAGTTGTATTCCTTTCCGAGTCCCTCCAGGCAGATTGAGCCGGAGCAGTTGTATACATAACTTCAGGCAGATTGAGCCGAAGAACATAATATTAACCAGTCTTCTTGTGTGTGCCTCCTGATACCACTCGGCGACCTATTACACCGGTAGTCGCATCGCTTCGGCGATTGTCTCTATCGCTAGCTGAGAGTTTTCTCTTGCAGATACATGTTTCGATTGTGAGAATCGACCCAGTATTGAGTGAGTTACGATAGTTTGAACAAGTCACTATTGACTCAAGACGGACTCCACGACTATGAGATGCAGGTTCACTGTACAGTGTACAGCGCGCGTCGTACTAGTACGACGGCCGTGGGGCATGCAACTCATGTGCGTCGTACTAGTACGACGCTCGCGCTAAAGGGGTAAATTAATTATTTTTATTCACCATGGTTGGTTAACACCCACATCTCCCGTACTGGCTGATTTTCTTTTCAGGTGTTGTAATAATAATAATGTACATGTACATGTACATGTATAAATTTTGTTAGATTGACAGAAACATGTACATGTACATGATGTACATGTATCATTGTATGATTACAGTTGGATGGGATTTTGCTCTGTGCATAGAAATTCTGTGTCGTTATTCGCGAATTGTCGTTATATCCGCAGTCGTTATTAGCGAATTAGTTAGTTGACTGTACATATATTTATCACGGAGGCTAGCCTGGAGACGTACACTTTACTTGAACTTACAACTGTCAGTAATCTTGGTAGTACACTACTAGTAGAAGGAAGGAAACTACCAGGCCAGGGTCGGGGATTTCTGATTCACTTCCACGCTTCAGTTGACGCCACTTCTGCTTTGGAGTTCAGTTTCGAAGTGCCCATGCCATAGCAGCTGCCACTCTCTTGAGTCTTTTCCCGAGCACCAGAGGAGGTGTTCATTATCCAGTGTCACTACGACGCTACTGTACTGTAGAGCACTGCCGCTGGGCACTGCCACTGGGTCACAGAGTAGTCTGTAGACTGGACGAAGAGTGTGGCACTGGCAAGTGAAGTGGCATTGGGCCATGGGCTCTAAAACTTAGTAAAAGAACTGAAGTAAATGCGCAGAGATAGCAGACTAAACACATTGCGGTTTCGCCGCATTCGTGGGCGCGATTTGCTGGGACGTGCGCGCATCGACGCGCGCGCGACGTGCGCGTGCGGAGTCTATCGCACTGCGGTACGAGTACTGCCACTGCAGTGCCTGGTCACGTCGCACAAGACTTGTACTTTTTTGTGGTAAAGATGATACAGCAAAGAAGCACACTGCACTTTCGAATTATTTCGCCTGACGTCATTACGTCATTCACTTCTGAAGTACGTATGCTGTACTACTACTACTAGCCTAGACTACGGGTAGTACTAGGTCACGTGCGCACGGCGCACTCAACGATCGTCATTCCTCACCGGTAATAATTTTTTTTTTCCATTTCCAGATTTCACTTTTCAACGAAATGCTGGACGAGTAAAAATTACCAGAACCATTGTCAGAAGAGAGTTTGGGAGCTTATCATGTTGCTTTGTTTTTACTGCTGCGTAGGTACATGCCTCTTTGCTCTTCCCCTGTGCGGATTAGTGGCCTATGAACGTCTTTCTATTGCATTTGGCCTATCAGTGTGTCGCGTATCCGGTGATGATTGAGTGAAGCAAGCCGCTGTTCACGTATTGAAGCTATTTTTGAAGACTGTAACATTGCAGGATGGCAACTGCTGGGGAGGACTCCTCAAGCGTATCATTGGATTATGTGAGCACTGGCTGTAGCTGCTCTCCTCACTCGTGTGCCTGGGCAGCTGATGGCCTCGTGGCGTTCGCCTCCAACAGGACCGTGTCGATCTACTCCCCGTCCAGCGAGGATCACAAACGTGTCGTTTGCACGCTGCGAGGTCACACAGACCGTGTGAACTGCGTGGCGTGGTTCACACCCAGTGCAGCCAGCGTTGGACTTGCCGGCGGCGGCAGCAGCAGCGGCGAGGCGGAACACCAAGATGGCGCCTGCTGCTCTGAGCTGGTGTCTGGCTCCGTGGACAGGACTGTGATCGTGTGGCGTATCAAGCGAACTCACCGTGCTGATGACGGCGAGAGTCTGTGTGTAGAAATGGTACAGAGCCAGGTGCTGTCGCATCACTCGGACGTGGTCGTCAGCGTGGCAACGTGCAGTGTGAACGGTACCGAGTGGATTGCATCGTCCAGTGCAGACAGCACGGTGTGTATGTGGAAGCGCAGCGGCGGTGGTGGTGGGCGCGAGCAGCGGTACGAGTTTGTTCAGTCGTTGACGTGCGGACGTCGTAGCTTCGTCCTGGATGTATCATTTGGTCTGCTGCCGGTGACCGGGTCACCATTGCTGGCATGCGCGGCCGAGGACATGCACATACACCTGTGGGCGTTGCAAGCAGCAGCTGCTCCTGCTGCTGGTGGTGATGAGTGGCGTCTGGTGCAGCACCTCGCTGGCCATGAAGACTGGGTGCGAACGGTGGAGTTTGCTCAGCGCGACCGCAGCAGCAGCAGCGGCGAAGGCACACCGACGACTGGCGATTTGCTGCTGGCGTCCGGTGCTCAGGATAGCTACGTACGTGTGTGGCGCATCGTCAGCGACGATCCAATCACCGATGCAGCTGCGATGACGGCGGTATCGGACGGCGGTAACGTGGTTCCGGAGATCCGCTTGCGCGAGAACAGCTTCTCGGTCGGCGTGCATAGGTTTTCGGCCACTCTCGACGCCATCCTGTCGGGCCACGAGCACTGGATATACGGCGTGACCTGGCAGCCGGCGGTGATCAGCAATGACGATAGGGGTACTGTTGAGCAGCCGCTGTGCTTGCTGTCGGCGTCCATGGACAAGACGCTGATGGTGTGGCGTTTCGATCACGACGCGTCGGTCTGGCTGGACGAGTCGCGCATGGGCGACATCGGCGGCAACACTCTGGGCTTCTACGGCGCCGCGTTCAGCCCGTGCGGACAGTGGATTATCGGACACGGTTACCAAGGCGCCTTTCACCTGTGGCGCTACGCGGCCGAGGCGCGCACCTGGCAGCCGCGCGTCGTCGCCAGTGGGCACTTTGGTCCCGTCCTGGACCTGGCCTGGTCGCCCGACGGCTGTCTCCTGTCGGTCAGCAAGGATCAGACGTGCCGCCTTCACGCCGAGTGGAATCGCCCGGCTCTTACGCCACCGGCCTCCTCCACCACCACTGGCACACTGGCGTCGTCTTGGCACGAGGTTGCGCGCCCGCAGATCCACGGTTACGACCTCCAGTGCCTGGCTATGACCGCGCCGTTCCAGTACGCGTGCGGCGCCGACGAGAAGGTCATACGCGTGTTTGACGCCTCGGCGCTCTTTCTCCGTAACCTGTCCAGCATCGGCGGGCGTGAGGTGAGTAGCAGCAGCCAAGCCGCCGCGCTACCTCTGGGTGCCACCGTACCAGCACTGGGCCTGTCCAACAAGGCAGTCTACGGTGATTCCGACGCCAAGGGTAAACGCGCCGACGAGGAAAGCGAGCAGTTTGGCGCGGCCGACGTGAACCGCTTGCCGGCGTTTTCGGCCACCGAGCTGTGCAGTCCGCCGTATGAGGAAGACCTGCTGCAGAACACGCTCTGGCCGGAGACGCAGAAGCTCTACGGCCACGGCTACGAGCTGTTTGCGCTGGCGTCCGACGGCCGCCACTACCTGGCCTCGGCGTGCAAGGCCAGCAAGGCCCAGCATGCCGCCGTGTTGCTATGGGATACGCAGTCGTCGGCGGCGTCATCATCGTGGAAACTCTGCGGCACGCTGACCTATCACGGTCTGACCGTCACGCAGCTCTGCTTCTCCAACAGTGGCGAGTGGCTGCTGGCCGTGTCACGTGACAGGACATGGTCGCTATGGAGATGGGACGAGACCTCGAGCGGCGGTGAGCCTCTGGATTGTATGGGGGTTATCTTGTGTTGTAAAAGCATAGGGTGCCCACCCAGTATAGCATCCACTTCTACAATGTAGTACAATCAGACTTTGCTTATCCGGTCCTCTTTTATCCGGATCCCTCGCCATCTGGAAGAAAATCGATGGTTACCGATTTACAGCATATGTCATGCATACCTACAGTCTGTATGTTTGATTATCCGGTTCTCTCGCCTATCCGGATATTTGTTGTGGAAAACGGATGTGCGATGTCTGACTGTACCCGTACACAGTCACCATTTTGAATAACGACCGTCGATCGGGCATTGGAACAGCTTCTTTTGTTGTTGTTGTTGTGAGGGTGAAAGCTTGCAGTCGCGGGTGGTCACTATGTCTGTAGATTGTGTTGTTATTCACGAGTTGTCTGTGCCGCCGGTATGCGCCTGAGTGCAGTCTACTTTGCGATATTATACTAATCATTGCAGATTTTCAGATTGCTCGCACGCTATCCCCAGTTGCACGTAGTTCAGAACGTACCTGATACACGCGATGTGAGTGTTCGCCGTCGGACACCCCATATGCAGAGTTGCACACACTTGGGGGAATATTATGCTCTTGGTGCCGATATGCGCTTGAGTACAGTGTGCTGTACAATATACATGTACCATATTTCCTCAATAATTATTAGTCGCACTCGACTCTAAGTCGCACCCCCATTTCCTCCACGTCTTTGCGAATGCTTTTTTTTTTTTCGTGGCCCTCCAGCAAAGCGATCGTATAATTGCTTTGTGCGTGTTTTGTGGGCATGTGTTTGGTGTGTGTCTGTGTGAATGCGCGTGCATGTATGCGTGTGTGTGTGGGGGGGGGGGGGGTCGTGTGTATGTGTGTATGCTTATCTGCTTGTATTTTGTATGTGTAAGTGTACATGTATGTGTGTAACTGTGTATTCATAGCTATGCATATGTTTGTCTGTGCTTGCACATGCTCAGCTCCGTTCACCTTGGCCGCCGCGACTCAGAAGCAGTCGTCCGTGCACCAGCGCATCATTTGGAGCTGCAGCTGGTCGCCGGATGATCGTGTGTTTGCTACTGCCTCACGTGACAAGAAGGTGGCACTGTGGAGCAACGATGCCACGCTGCTTCAGCAGGACACCAGGTCAGTTTCAGCAGCGCTCTCTCTTTATCTCTCTCTTCCTCTGTCTCCTTTTGTGTCTCATTCTGTTGTTTCCTGTCTCTCTCTCCCTCTCTTTCTCTCTCTCTCTCTCTTTATCTCTCTCTCTCTCTCCCTCCCTCTCTCTCTCTCCCTCCCTCTCTCTCTCTCTCTCTCTCTCTCTCTCTCTCTCTCTCTCTCTCTCTCTCTCTCTCTCTTCCTCTCTCTCCTTTTGTGTCTCATTCTGTTGTTTCCTGTCTCTCTCTCTCTCTCTCTCTCTCTCTCTCTCTCTCTCTCTCTCTCTCTCTCTCTCTTCCTCTCTCTCCTTTTGTGTCTCATTCTGTTGTTTCCTGTCTCTCTCTCTCTCTCTTACACACATACATGTGCACTCAGGATGGAGGCAAAGGCTCTTCCACCGTACCACGACTGTGGCCAGGGCTGGGGTGTTGCCTCAGCATTGCTGGAGCTCTCCGACTCAGCCACAGCCGTTCGGTTTGCACCCTTGATAGCTGGCGCATCTACTTCAACAGCTGATGCAAAGTAAGTCATATACAAGGGTGTACCATGTGAAGTTCATCCATCGTCCGTAGAGGGCTCAATTTGCCGCAGGCAAAGAGCGGAATACAAACAGCAACTGCTTGTTCTTCTGTCTGTATAAAAGTGTGTATGTTGAGGGGGGGGGGGGGCTGAGGATATTAGGGACCTTTCGCATTTGCTACGAATCGAATGTGAAACCAAAGTTTCATTCGGCTCGTAATCGTTTCGTTGAAAGCAGATTCAGGTTTCGCAAGTCGTCATGCAAATGTGCGTGGCAACTACGAATACGGCCGGTAGGTTGGCGTACGGCCGGGTGTGTTCACACACACGTGCATGGATCATGGAATCAAGGGAAAAAATGTGTACCTGGCCAAATAAATGTGTACCTGACGGATTCGGAGGGCGCCACGAATGAAGAGGCTTCCATTCGTGAAAACGAGCTCTCCGCAGTGATTCTGACGAATCTTCGAACCCAGGTGACGAATCAGCATTCGTTTCGTATCCGTACGAGTGGTGCGAAAGGTCCCTATTATCAGTACAGTAGAAGCTGTTCTGTCCGGGCGCCTTGGGACTGAAAGGTGTCGGTGTGTCAGAATCTTCTCACCCTCTGCAGTACACTACAATCTACACCCATACTGGTAACTGTGTTCAGTTCTATGTTATCTTTTAGACGTTAGCAGTGTCTCCTCTAGGATTTCAAAACAACCGGGTACACGTGTACCTGGCACAGCTCTTACAGCCGGGACAGATCCGGGTATGTTCGAGTGCGGCTATTGCATGCATCAGGGAGCCGTTTAACATTTTAGGACTCTCTGATGTTATGTATTCCCAACCGGGTCACTTGGTGACCCGGTGTTCTTTTTCCAAACGGGTCCAAGTGCTCCCCAACCGGGTCGCTGACCCGATTAACCTGGCTCTGGAGCAGACGCTGGATAGTTACACTGGTTATGCCTAAATTAGCCGAAACAGTGGGGGCTGTCTCCATCACTAGTATGTATACAGTCAACTTGGCTCATAATGACTGCGGATATAACGACAATAGGTGATATGCCAAATAACCCGCAACTAGACTTGAGAGGGCATCGCACACAAGTTGCATACAAATTGTACTACAATGTGTACACGATAGACCCTGAGCTCTGCAGGAATGCAAGTCACAGGTAACCGTACAACTTTGAACTTTGTATGCAACTACTCTGCAATGCCCTCTCAAGTCTAGTTGCACGTTATTTGGCATATCATCTATTCGCGAATAACAACAGAATTTTCATGCCCAGAGCAAAGTTCCATCCAACTGTAACACATATAATGGGACTTCGGGTATAACGACACTTCGCGAATAAGGACACTTTTTGATACCCCGCCGAGTGTCGTTATAAGCAAAGTTGACTGTAGGCACTTCACTCCTTGACGTTGGTCAGCAGCACTCTTGGTAGAGCTTGCTCAGCACTTGTTAGCTTTATGCATCACTTGCAGCAGAGGGGTGTTGGACACGCTTTATGCATCACTTGCAGCAGAGGGGTGTCGGACACGCTTTATGCATCACTTGCAGCAGAGGGGTGTCGGACACGCTACAGTCACTGCAGTATTGGCCATAGCATTTTCGCGCTCTCTTCCTGTGTGTGTCTCTGTCTGTCTGTCTGTCCCTCTCTCTCTCTCTCTCTCTCTCTCTCTCTCTCTCTCTCTCTCTCTCTCTTTCTTTCTTTCTTTCTTTCTTTCTTACACACATTCACTCACTCTCTACCCCTGCATGTCCTTTTTTGTCTTCTGCTCTTTCTGACATAGGTACACATTAGCGATTGGTCAGGAGGACGGTGCTGTGCTTCTGGCATCATGGTGTGTCTCAACTCAGTGGAGTGTAGTGCATCGTGTCACACACAGGTACAGACTAGGCTATTGACTAGAACATTAGCTAGAACTAGAACGACGTTACTTGGACTTTTGTTGGAAGTAGGCACACAGTATTCTGCCCCGAGTGGTGTTGTATTGCCTTGGAACTACCGCTGGCATGTCTTTTCTACCAGGAGTCGTCGGTCCCCTACTGGAGTTATGGTCAGAACGGCCAAAGCCCGTGCTATGCCTTCAAACGAAAGTTCATTAATTTTTATGTGATGATATCATTCATTTATTTGGCACTCATTACATCTGTGTGATGATGTCATCCACTGGCCTATGACTAAATACGAAGGATATTCGATGATCTAGAAAAGCGATCCTGTCGGCTTTTCTATTATTGTGTTCACCTGTATTTTGCGTAGTCTCTATAGACAGAGCTTGGTCAAAGTCATTCATTTCATTTTTTTTCTCGTGTGTGTCCCACAGTCATTGCCCCGTACAAACAGTGCATCGGCTCAGCTGGCGTCCGGCCGACAGTGGTCAAACTGAGAAGCGACGCCATCACCAGCAGCTTGCAGTTGCCAGCGGCGACCATTCCGTCCGTATCCTGGCGTTCCCCAACTGCCTCTTTGCTTCGTAGGACAGCAACGACGACGACGACGGGAGAGGAAAGCAATGTTTGTCGAACTCACGGTGGGATCTAGCAACCAGGTTGTGTGTGTTATGGTCAATGTGCCTGTGCCAGCCTGCCCACTAGCACTGACTGTGGTCATCACAATCCCATGGACTCGTGTTTCCCGTGGACTGGCGGTGATTCAGCCGACGTGTCTCAGACTCACGGCGTTGCCCGTCTCTAACTGGGTGTGAGGTCAACAGCTAGCCATGTAGCATCGATCACACTGCTGCGCAGTGTTTCGGTGCACCGCTAGTGCTGGTGAGCTTTCATCTGCTGCCGTTCCCGGTCTGTGCGTAAAATGCCGCGGGGACGCACTTGTTCCATTGCCCTCCGAAACAACGGCCGGATGGTATGCCAGAATTTGTTTGTCTCTCGCACCTGCGCTGCCCGACAGCATGCACGCAGTTGCCACTGGCTTAGTGCGCGCGCGTTCCAAGCGACTGCAATTACGTGGACTATGCTGTGTGTGTATGTGATGTGGCGTATTTAGTGCGGCAACTGAGCGTGCACGCTTCTAGCTCCCTGACTCAACCCAGCTGGCTTGCTTTTACCTCGCTTGCTGGTTTCCACCAACCATGGCCATTGAGCAGGATACTTTGCACCTGTTTATTTGCTGCCCAGCAGCAGCAGCACCGCCAGCAGCAGCACCACCAGCAGCAGCAGGATTCCCATTACTTAGCTGGCGCTTGCTAGACACTGGCAGTGTGCCATGGCGGGTCTTGCTCTCATTTGGGATTTCAATACAGCTCGGGGACTGGAGCTTGCTGGGCTCTCTAATTTTGTTGATATAGCTGAGCTATTGGCCCGGTGTTGAGTTCCTGTGGCGATGTCATGTCCACCCTGGTGTATACGTAACTGTTCGCTCTCTGCCAGCCAGATTATTTTTATTCTCCAATCTCTAGGTCTAGCGGGCATACAATTTCCTAATTTCTTGTTCAATTGTAACGACACTCTCTGTTTCCTCCGTGGTCTGTACCATGCTGCTAGCTGGTCATCATAGGCCATGTCTGCCTGGCAATTGAACGCCTTCGCAGTATGGAGACCCTGTGCGCATGTGTGCGCGCGTGTGTACCTGTTACCGTTTGTAAGAGATTTCGCAATGCGTGCACACGTGTAGAGGGAGGGGTGTCGCCGTGTCGTCATCTACGTGGTGGGGAGGTGTATTTTTTTATACCTGTACGAGGTGATTCGTAATTTTTTAACATTGAGTCATTTCTTAACAAATCGGTAAAATATCTCATTGCAAGCACCTGCAAAAAGTCACGTCAAATTTCTTTTTGCCATTGCCATTGCCAATGTTCTGTCAAGTTCGCCTCCAAAATTGAGACTGATATCCCTTCAGGAAGTGACATTGCCAGAGCTTTCAGTCTGTATGTGCGCGATGTTTACGGTAAAATAGAGTATAAGAGAGTCATAGCCGCTGGTTTCAACCTCGAGTGACAACATATTTAGCTGAATAGGAAGCATAATTATGATAGCTACATACTGGAAACGACGCCTGGGAAGGAGGAATGTCGGTGTGTTGGCCCTAGTAATGGCCAAACATTGGCAATCACTGAATTTGCTAACAGATGTTGATCACAATTACACATGAAATCAGGGTGATACACCTGTTGCTATGTAAGCTTGAATGGCTTGTATTTGGATGAACATGATCTTGATCCAGTCTTGCTGGACCATCCTGGAGACGTAGGGTCTCCTTCTATTGAAAACTGACTTGAAATTGTGCTGCTCAGGCCTATTTTACCATAATGTTAAGAAATGACCACAACAAATAATATGCGGAAAAATTGCCATTTTTCAACTGCCACCTGCTTCCCAACACCAAGGATTATGTGAATGAGAATCCCAACATTGCAATCCAAGGACATCAGTATTACATTTTTAGAGGACGAAATGGAAAGATTCACACCTCGAACCCTACGGAAGGCTATTTTACTTTCGTGTTAAATAATGACGAATCACCTCGTACACTTTTCTCCTGCATTATCGTTCAAGGGAGGCCCTCCTGCGGATGATAAAGAGTCCTCTACCGCCCAACTCAGTCATTGAGAGGTTGAATAACGAGCCCACCTGCAGTAGTGGAACGTTGATACCCCCCCCCCCCCCACACACACACAGTCATATTGCACACCGAAACACAGTTGAGGACACCGCGTTAGGAGACTACGTATCGAGTGAATAGTACAAGTACCAAAATCAAAATTAATCATGTGTGTTTCACATACAACTGAACCGGACTGGCCACTGAAAACACAAATGCAGGGGCGAGGCAGCATAATACCAAAAAGCTTGCTGCAAAATACACGAGAACGAGGACAACAAATAGAACACAGGTGCCAGTTTAACATGACGGTTTAGAAAAGACAAAGTCGATAAAATCAAAGCCAGTGTTAGTCCGTTGTGTTTTTACCCTGATGTCAGACGTGTAGTACGTGTATGGCGGTGGGTGAAAAATAGATAGATATAATGCTGCTGTGAACGCGCTGCGCTGCTGCTGCTGTGCAAGAGCGGAACTTCAAATACCATGAATACACATGAATCATTATGATGAGGATAAAAGAGTGTTTATAAGCCGAGAAAAGTACATGATCATGGCATGCGGGCTATTGGAAAAAAAAACCCTTACCCGTTACTCGTTTCATTTTTACGACTGAAAACATTGGCGTGGAGGCGAGGTCAGAAACGCGAGCGGGACGGGGGAGAAGGAGGGAGGCACATCAACATCAGCGTGTTTGTAAAACACACACACACACACACACACACACACACGGAGAAAAAAACTTTGACTCACAGGTCAATGCAGAGGTAACCTAACAGAGAAAGACAAGCTAAAGGACGACTTTCGACTACAAGGTATTTCGAAGGCATTTCGAAATCTACGAGAGAACTAAATAAAATTAATAACAACCTACAAGCTACACATGCGCCTACTACATGCAGCGGTGAACACTTGAACACACAACAAGAACCCACTGCTAACTAATTGATGAGAAGAGTAGTAAAATATATAGGCAGAAGAGAAGAATCTACATGTATGGCAATTTTGTTTAAGAAACCAATCGGAACTTGGCTTGGCTGGAAAAGAGGAGTCGAGGGCCACATGCACTGACGTGACCACGCTCAGTGTGACTCCGGTCACAACATGATCACCTGATGCAGTTGCTGCTGCTGCACAGCAGTTAGTAGTCAGCAGGTGAGAAACATAGGTCTGAGTACAGTGTGCAGTTGACTCGTATGTACGTATGTACACGTGAGGGCATGTGTGTGCACGCACGAACGGTGTGTGTGTGTGTGTGTGTTGTGTTTGTTTATTTGTTTGTTTGTGTGTTCATGAGCCCGCAAGCGATTCGAACCGTACAAGTATGGAGAGGAGAGAAGGGCTACGTTACGGGCTAATGTACAGTGGGATATGCATGTATTCCAGCGGGCAATATACACAGGCAACACTTACAACGCGCTCAACAACAACAACAGGACATCATCAACAAGAACACATGCAGAGATCTCACGCAGAACGGAGTGCAAAGCGCCCGATTGCATTGCACGCAATACGAAACCAAACCCGTGAAGTGCCATTTGAGCAAGACACGCAGCGGACAACGCTAGTGTGCTCGCAGCTAGGCAAACAGCAAACGTCACAACACGTGCCGGTGCACACACACACACACACACACACACACACACACACACACACACACACACACACACACACACACACACACACACACACACACACGCGTACAAAGCACACGCACGTCACACTTCTACCGAGATGGATTCGACCCACTTCACTCTGCTGTCGTCGCGACTACCATCGTCGGCATCCTGGTATGACTCTTCATCGTCAGAGTCATAACCACCAGCTGTGGTGCTGTTACTCTCCGACAATTCCACCTCCACGGGATCACTTACGCCAGTTATGGTGTATGAAGACATGACAATAGGATAGCTCGGAGAGCGCGGCAGTGTCGGCGCGGGAGTTACCGTGGATTCGTTCTTGTCGTCGTCTCCGTCGTCGTCGTCGTCGTCGTCCACCATACCGGGTAGACTGATGGGTGTGGACGCACACACTGGTGCGCTGACTGTGCGATGCACTGGTGAGCAGCTACCGGTGGTGGCAGAGCTGGTCCCGTCGCCACTGGATACTCCCTCGGTGAGAAGCGCCACTGGTGGAATGTCGGACAGTGCCGCCGCCGCTCCTGTTGCTGATGCGGGTTGTGGTAGAACAGCCGCAGCAGCAGCAGAAGTGCTTTCGGCGTCTTCGGCGTGTGAGGATATCATGGCCGGGATCATCCTACACCCAGCACAACACACAGTCAATAATGTATGGTATTAGTCATAGGGCCAGAAACAACAACATTGCATGTGCAAATGTGTCCGCACACACACACACGCACGTGTGCGCACGCACGCACACACACACAGACGCACACACACACACACCTTTGACCTTTGACGCCCCATCTCCAGTGGAGATGATAGGCTACTGAGTTGGGCAGTACTTGATGTGACGCTTCAAATCGCCACTTCTCCTAAACGCTCTGCCGCATGCGTAGTGAAAGTCCTTCGGTGCCGGGGGAGGAAGACGATGTTGATGGACCCGCCTGCGCCATTCCGGGCGATCTTGCGCGAGCCGATACCACTCGGACTCCGGAATATCCAGCGAGCGCAGATCACCGACAATCGTGTCTCGCCAACGCTTCTTTGGCCCATGCCGTAGTCTGGTTGCCTCGAGCTCCCCAAACAACACTTGTTGAGGAATCCGTGCCGCGTCCATACGGGCAACATGACCCAGCCAACGCAGACGATACTCACGCAGGAGAGTGCCAATGTCTTCAGGAAGACGCGCTCTCTGGGCTAGATCAGCAGTAGTAAGATGACGGGAGTGCTGATCGCTCCTTGAGACTCCCAAGATGGAACGGACGCATGAGCGATGAAACAGATTCAGGCGATTCATCTGTCGGGCCTTTATGGGCCAAGCCTCTGCTCCATAGAAGAAGGTAGGGAGGACAATGGCCTTGTAGACAAGACGCTTAGACTTGATGGATAGGCCGCTACACCCGAAGATTGGCTTTTGGAAAGCGCCAAAAGCACGAGAGGCCTTGGCAAGGCGGGAGGGGAGGTGAGCTCCTTGTCCAGAGCACTGTCTGCACTCAGGACACTGCCAAGATAGGTAAAGATGTCCACAACCTCCACGCTTCCTCCATCCTGAAGATCAATGGAAGGCGGCGGGTCAGAGCAGTTCACCGCCATGGCCTTGGTCTTCTGGACGCTCACAGTTAGACCCCAACTCGAAGCACAGGACACAAACTCGTTTGTCATCGTCTGCAGGTGGCTCAAAGAGGTGGTGTAGAGAGCCGCATCATCAGCAAACTGGGACTCCGTGACGTCAGTGGAGGCCAGCCGAGACTTGGCGGTCCGATCCCCAACAAGCTTCCTGCCGACACGGTAACGGACCCGTACACCCGGAACAGAAGACTGGCGATGCCACGAAGAGACCATTGCAGAGAAATATAGAATTAAGAGCGTAGGCACACACACACACACACACACACACACACACACACACACACACACACACACACACACAGACACACACACACAGACACACACAGACACACAGACACACACAGACACACACAGACACAGACACACACACACAGACACACACACACACACACACACAGACACACACACAGACACACACACACTACACTGGCTACTAAGGCTACTACACACGTCACTGGATACTACCATGCTGCCGTGCACACGCAGCAGGCAAGGCCGTTACGTACGAGGTGTCCGAATTGGGAAAGTCGTCATCCAACGATTCCGCTACATCACTGTTGACTGCATGCACATAGCAAATAAATAAACACACATGCACACATACACCCAC